TACAGACACAAACGCATACACACACTCACATACACACACATACACAAACACATACACACACAAGCACCCACGCATAAACACGCATGGGCTTCAGTGTGCGCTTATTATGAGAACTTAATTGTTAATTAACTTTGGACTATGGACGTACGATCTTCATGAAATTTTCAGAATCTGATTATAACATGAATATGCATGTAATTGCCAAAGCACAAGTCTCTAGTATTTGAAATACGCTTTTTACAAAAGTGATGGTGAGGGGGTGAATTTAGAGGTGGGGTACATTTTAACAAAAACCGAAATTGTATAAATTGCATATAAGCATACATTAAAAATTTGGAGACTCTAGCAATAAAGGTGTAGAAGATATAATTTTATAACTGGTTTTCGATAAGGTTTTTTATCGATACAAAAAGATCGGAATGAGTTATCGATTTTTATACTCATTCACGAAAGTGAATCAGTATATTGGTTTTGTGCAATGTCCGTCTTGCTGTACGTCTGTCCGTCCGTCCGTCTGTCCGTATGACCGCAATCTATTTCGGCGCTATTGAGGCTAGAGACTTGAAATTTGGAACACATACTCATGTATATCTGCGATTTATAAAGTGTTAAAATTTTCCCGATCCGCCCACTAGAGGCGTGGCAAATCGGAAAATGCATTTTCCGATATACCAGAAATCATGTTAGTTAAAGAGCTAGAATGCTGAAATTTGGTATGTAGGTCCGCGTTGACCACCCAAGATCACGAGCTATGGCGGATATATCTCCGCCCATTGGGGGCGTGGCAAATCGGATAAAACTGTATCTCCTAAAGTTGTAAACCTAGAATTCTGAAATTTTGCACGTCAGCTAATGGTATGATTCTATAAAGTCTAAGGATAAATTATAAGTCTACGCCCATTCGGGGCGTGGCAAATCGGACCTGATGATATAGTGATTTTTTAAATTCTCCTATATTTTGGACACTATTGATGGCAGAGACCTCAAATTTTGTATATATACTCGGACTGATCACCCAAGACCAAAAAGTTTTGTCGGATATATGTACGCTTCTTTAGGGGCGTGGCATATCGAAAAATACCCTGTAATTTTCACATTTTTTGAGGGTAAGCATTCAAACTTTGCAGTTAGGATACCGTTATCACTTTCTAAAAACTGACCAAAAATGAGGTGTCTACGCCCAGTTGGGGCGTGGCAAATCGGAAAAACCTGTATATTCTACAGTATTAGAGCGAAACTTAACTACTAAATTGTTGATGGGATGTGAATGAGTATTCCGCAGTCGGTAACGTCCGACTGCAACGTTTTTACTTGTTTTAAACTATCAGCATTAAGACGCTGGTTCCTTTGACTGTGTCTCTTACCACGGGTGGTGGAAAACACAGAAAACGCCGAAGGATCAAAATGTTAGAGCGTTAAATAAAATTCAAGATTGAAACTGAACTCTTTATTGCTTAAAATCCTAGAATATACCTAACAGAGACTCTTAAAACTTTTTCCAGTCACTGAAAGTAAGCATTTTCCCATACAAACAAGTACACAGATGTTTATTCAAGTGTCCCTTTTTTATATCGCTGGGCCCAGGTTCATCTTACAATTACATATATTAGTCGCTGCATTGGTCGCTGCAACTAAGGGATGACATATTTATTACTTTGTGTCGGATAACGCGCAAGTTATCGAGTATTGTCTCTATTTTGTCAAGTGCTTCGCATTGACTCATTGGTGTGAGGATCTCAAATGAGTGTCGCGTAAAGAGTAATACGATTTTCGCTTAAACAGAAATGATCGTGTGCATGCAAATACATACATACATACAATAGAGGACAAAAGTATTTTGACAACGCATTGAAAAAATTCTAACCTCTTATTTATTATTTCAATTCATTTAACTCAACCAAACGATCAGTGCTTGACTTGAGCGAAACGAAATAAGTAAGAAAACTCTAGTCGAGAGTGCTCGACTAGATACTACCCAACTAATAAAAATGCCCATTTAGTATGGCTAAAATTTCAATTTCGATGTATTTAAAAATATAAGTTAAATAGAAAACTCATTTATGAAAATATACAAATATTTTGAAACAATTAAAAAAATTAACATTAGTTGCACCGATCGGGATTCGAACCGCGACTTCTCAATCGAGCGTCATGCAGCTAACACACTACGCCACCTCACTTCTGAAATAGATTCACTGCTGCAGCGCCATCTAGCAAAACTAAACCAAACAGCTGATGTGATTCAAAGAATGTTCTAGAAGTTTGAATGTATGTGTGCACACGCATACGATGCTGTTGTAGCCAGTGTTGCCGAAACTTTTTCAGGAAAAATAGCAAAACCGAAGGCTGAAAGTAGCTAGAAGTAGCCAACTTTCTTCTAAAATAGCTGAAAAAGTAGCAAAAACGAAAACAGTGCTGTTTTTTTTTTTTTTTTCATAAAAAGTCAACTTTATTAATTTCATTCTGATAATATCTCATCTATGACCACCAACTCGTCATTTTCACCATTGTCGCTTTTATAATTTGCCTTTTTAAGGTAGTTGGGTGGAACGCTATACTCATAGCAACATTTGCCATGTCGCACAAGTCTCTAGTACTTGAAATGCGTTTTTTACAATATGGTGGCGTCAATGGGTTCAGGGTATAAAAACTGATAAGAAATGAATTTTGCATAACATATTAGAAAGCTTACCTATACTTCAGTTGTTGTATTAATTCTACACAAAGCTCAGTACATTTAAATCATTTACATTTTAGCTAAATTTAATATTTGAAAATAACCAGATTTGTAGCTAATAGCTGTTTGAAAATTTGAGTAGTAATCGGCTTTAAAAAGTAGCCAGATCTAACTATAAAATAGCTAATTCGGCAACACTGGTTGTAGCTGCTGCACGTGCGTTTGTTAATTGGCCAAATATTTGATGATTTTTAATTAATTTTTTACAGAACGGAATTTAATGAAACTTTCAGCATATGATATTGAATATTTGAGAAATTAAAAAAAATGAAAAATCATTCACAATTAGCTATAGTGGCATCTGACTTGAACTTGAATGTTTTTACTCGATAAAAACATAACGGGATGATTTATCGAATTTTAAAAGCAAACTCGACGTCCGCGCTGTATATACGGTCATTTAAAAAAAATTAAAGTCTCTAGCTCTTATATCTTCGGAAATCGACGCGTTCAAACATACGGACAGACGGACAGACAGACAGACGGACAGGGCCGGACAGGACATTTAAAAAAAAATTTAAAGTCTCTAGCTCTTATATCTTCTGAAATCGACGCGGACAGGGCCAAATCAACTCAGCTCGTCGCCCTGATCAAGAATATATATACTTTGTGGGGTCTGCCACGCCTCCTTCTGCCTGTTACATACATTTCAACAAAACCATTATACCCTGATTTCCCATTGAAAATGGGTTCAGGGTATAAAAACAAGTAAGAACGTGGCATTCGGGCGTTACCGACTGCGGAATACTCATTCGCATCCCATCAACAATTTAGTAGTTAAGTTTCGCTCTAATACTGTAGATTATACAGGCTTTCCGATTTGCCACGCCCCAACTGGGCGTAGACAACTCATTTTTGGTCAGTTTTTATAACGAGATAACGGTACCCTAACTGCAAAGTTTGAATGCTTACCCTCAACAAAAGGCAAAATTACAGAGTATTTTTCGATATACCACGCCCCTAAAGAGGCGTAAAAATTATTTTTTGGGGAATCGATAGAGGAGGCTACCAGTAACTCAACTATCCAAATTTAAAGCTTCTAGCTATTATACTTTAGGAGATATAAGCTTTTGCGGTTTGCCACGCCCCCTGTGGGCGGACATATATCCGACAAAGCTTTTTGGCCTTGGGTGATCAGCCCGAGTATATGTACAAAATTTGAGGTATCTGGCATCAACAGTGTCCAAAATATAGCAGAATTTAAAAAATCACTATATCTTCAGGTCCGATTTGCCACGCCCCCAATGGGCGTACTTATAATTTTGTCTTTAGACTTTATAGAATCATAACATTAGCTGACGTGCAAAATTTCAGCATTCTAGGCTTACAACTTTAGGATATACAGTTTTATCCGATTTGCCACGCCCCCAATGGGCGTAGATATATCCGCCATAGCTCGTGATCTTGGGTGGTCAACGCGGACCTACATACCAAATTTCAGCTTTCTAGCTCTTTAACTAACATGATTTCTGGTATATCGGAAAATGCATTTTCCGATTTGCCACGCCTCTAGTGGGCGGATCGGGAAAATTTTAGCACTTTATAAATCGCAGATATACATGAGTATGTGTTCCAAATTTCAAGTCTCTATCCTCAATAGCGCCGAAATAGATTGCGTTCATACGGACAGACGGACGGACAGCAAGACGGACATTGCACAAAACCAATATACTGATTCACTTTCGTGAATGAGTATAAAAAAAATTCACACCTATTAATTTGACCATATATGTATGCATGCACGTATTTACGGTATTTGCATACAAAAAGCTCTTAGACCACATGGAAGAGATATATTTTAAATATGTTTTTTTTTTTTATATTCATTTATTGACAAAATTAAACAAATTGCAAGTTGCGTGGTGGCTAGGATAGCGCGGGGTGCTTGCGGGACGGCCGTAAAGTATTGCTTCGCAAGCAATTTTTTATTTTAAATATGTAAATATATGTATATGTATGTACATACATATGTGCCTATACATATTTTTGCATGTATTTATATGGAGCATGCGCAAAGTACAGAGATAAAATTATATAATTGCTGTGTCATCAGTTGCTAATGGTAGAAGAGTACAAATTGGTACAAATTGGTTACACACAATATATACATATTATATATATATATATATATATATATATATATATATATATATATATATATATATATATATATATATATATATATATATATATATATATATATATATATATATATATATATATATATATACATCGTGACATGCTATAAATTTTTCGGTGCTAGTGTACCGTAAGGTTACCAATAAACTGTTTTAAGCACCGCTTTGAGGAAGAATATAATTAGCATCAACATGTCATTGGAGCACACTTTTTTAGGAACCTGGGAGGTAATTTGCTCAAATTACTATATGTAAAGCTTTTAGTCATTAAATAATGCACTACACAGATAATTTCATGTACTTTCGAAGGCAAACGCGAGGTTTCTGGACTTGAAGGGTAAATATTTGTACATATTTTCAGATACATATAATCAATGACCATTTCAATTCCTAGAATAAAATTTCGCCTAGACAATACCAGCGACATTACCTGGTACAATGATTTGGTTAGTCCACTTCCTGAAATAATTGACTGCAGCACCTGCAATGATACAGCAAGTGTTTTATTTAGTTGTGAAACATTTGATGTACGCGAAACTAATCCTCGTCTCGTTTTTGGTGCCTATGCTGGCCACAGTATTGAATTTAGTGTGAGTAGTTTAATATTGTAATTGATTAGACAAATTATTATTATTTTTTTATTCGTAACTACAGACTAGTACATTAATGCCAACTGATTATATAGTGCTTAGTTGCGAAAACTGGTATTCAGTTGAATGCAAGAGGCTTCAGGACGATCGACCGAATGGTCAGGAAAGGCAATTCAGTTTTGGTGAAGCGCTTCTAGAGCGCTATTTCAGCGATGTAGTAGTCAAAAGTTGTACTGGATTCGAATACGCCCTTCATTCCTCTATACTGCGTCTTAACGGATTCGACTGTAGTATGTGTGCAAGCAATACCCTGCTGTCAACATCGCAAAACTTGCAGCCTTTGCATTTTACGCCAAATATATCAAAGCTGAATCCGATAAATATATCGATTGGTATAGCTGATTCTGGAAAAGAACAATCGAAACATTTGCAAGGCGTTAATTTATCCTCCGTATATATGCAGCCAGTTTGCGATTTTCAACTTTTTGCACCAACCGCTGGATTGGAAACGCAGCGTTTTCATTATTTTAGCAGCAGTTTTAACCGCCTAACCAATGTCAATATGAAAGATTCAGTTGAGACAGTCTATAATGCTGATGGTGGATTACTACGCATGTGTACTTCGCATTCAGAATCACACCTGGAAATATCTCAAGAATCAACAAATATTTTCAATTTTTGTCAGGACTTGTTGCAACCTGTGTCGTCGGCTGTTCTTCAAAGCAGTGGAGCCGCTGTATGCAATACACGCCGACCGCCACTGTCTCCTTATCGACTACGCAGCTCTTTACCGCTTTCTAATTTAATAGATACGCCACCGTCTTCACCGCTAACGCCAGTTGGAGTCCTCTTTAATTTACCGACATTTCTTTTGAACCCGATCTTACATTGGTTGTATACAGAATCTTTACTACCTGAACTGGATGAGGGTGATTGTGAGAAGCTGATCAATTTTTGCGAAGCGCAACCTTCACTAACCAAGCTGGTTCCACCAACTCGCAAGTACCTGCGTTTACTGCGACTTAAAAAATGTGAGTAAACCTTTATAAATCCAATGTTTTAACTTAACTTTTTATATGCCAACTAAAAGTGGTTGAGAATCTAACAATGGATCTACACAACATACTTAACCGCATAATACAGTACATTGATCCTGTCACAATATCTTACACGCCAGCATTACTTTATGCAACTTTCCAAAATGGACTGCGGGAATGCGCATTAGGTAAGAATGTTTTCGAGTGATAACAAACTTTTAATAGCATATAAATGGTTCAACTTTATTCAAATGCCGTGCGCTGATATATGTATGTACAAGACTATTTTGTTTAAGTTTACTAGAAGTAGTTAATATATTTGTTGTCGGTAGTTTATCAAAAGAGAATGTGTAGGATGATATTGCTGTCAAGAGCTTAGCCCTGGTACACTATAATATGTCAAATATATTAATTTAGATCACTAACCATTCAAAACTTAGACTGGACATCTAGAGCTGACTTTTTCAACGCAAAAAAGATCTGCAGTTGGTACCATTTACCCTCGTATTTGCTCGGCTTGGTATTTTTGGGCCGAGTCATGAAAAGATGGTACGACAAAATCAGTAGGCTGAGAATGCTCGAGTAAATACGAGCCCAAAGCACTATTTATTCGAACAGCATGTTTTTTTTTTTTTTGCAGTGCGCAATGTTTAACACACTATATTATCAATACTACTAAAGATAACACATTTCATCTTAAAGAGAATTTTATTCTCTTCACGATTAAAGAAAAGTTTTGCTTTATTTCCAAAAACAACAACATTATGAGCAATTTATTCAAACGGTTGACTTAAGAAAAATTGACCGCTATAAATTGGCTATTTGATGGTCAATCTAAAACTTCCATTTAATTCCAGCCATTTTTGGTTCGTTCATCATTAACCGTCCCTTCAATGTAATGCATTGACAAACATACATCCCCATACTATAGTGCTCGCAGAAAACTTTACTTTATTTATGGTTTGTTTGCGAACTTTTACGGATGACACGTTTTCTCGTATCGCCAACACTTACATAATCGCTAAATATGATGGTATCCCATTGCCTTTGAGTCCAAGACATCCTTTCCCAACCCCATTGCAAACGTTTCTTTTTTGACGAAGTGTAAGCAAAGGTGTTTTCTTGGCCTACGAGTAAGATTAGTTATTGGGTACGACGCATAGATAATAACAAAACATACTTTATAACAAGTAAGAAAGCTCTAGTCGAGATTGCTCGACTACGAGATCCCTTGAACCCTACGAGCAATAGCTATTTCGATCATTTTTCGCGTCTTTCTGCTTGCACAAGAAACACGCACACACGCACACACACACACACACACACATTCACACACACATTCACACACACAGACACACACACACACAGGAGTTCGAGTTGCGTTTTCGTGGAGTCCGGTCGACGTTATCGTGATCCATCGTGGACAATATCTTGATCTTTGCTGTGAAAGTGGAATGAACTGTAGACAACGTGGTTGCTGTGGCGCGACGCACCCAGCGACGGCAAAAACTATCAAAGACTTACTTCGCGGCCGTCTCGCGGAGTACCCCAGTGGTACAATCCGGTGGTGCAAGTGAGGGGGGCAATAGCGTCATTGTTTTTGGCGTCAGGGCTTTCCTCTTTCCCTTTCATTTTTTTAAGCGCGAAAAGATTTGTCACATTAGGCGTCACATTTGTGCAAATAATAAAAAATCAGGTGCATTCACTCTAACAGCTGTTAGTAGTGCTGGAAATTGCAGCGGACAATCAGCTGATCACTAACTTTGGTGATTTGCTAAGTCTCAGCAAAGACAGCAACCTAGCTGCTGGTGTGAGGTAGCAGGTATTAAGAGTAGAGCATACTTTCGGGCTCTCGCTGTAGTTAAGTTGAGTTTAAGTTACTGCGGTCTCTAAACTCAAATTATATTAGTAGGCAGGCTTCACGCCGTGGTAGTCGAAGCAATATGGAGGCCATGATGGAGGAGGAGCTGCAAGCTTTCGCGCGCCGTTCCTCGTTGCAGCGATCACCGCAGCAACAACAGAGGGCGTTGACGCAGCCATGACTTGTAATCAGTCTCCAGTGGCTGAGTGCCAGGCATCCAAGTCTTTAAAAGAAGCGTTAGCCCAAATAGGAGTTACGATAGACGGCTTGACTGCCTTATTTGGGGGTCAGCGGCATATAAATGCACTAATGAGAGAGGAGCTGGCTAGGCTGGTCAGTCTCCACAAGACGGCCGAAGCGTTCAGCAACCGACCGGTCAAAGACAGCGAGGTGCAGACCACGCTGGTCAAGAAAGTAGCTGAGCAGGCTAAAACAGCGAGTGTTAGTGCTACAGCAGGTAGTAATACGCCCAAGCGGTCGAGGGAAGTTGCCACTGAGCAGAGAAAAACTCCCTCGAAAAAGCCGAGGCACAATAAAAGCGCAGCAAATCCAATAGAGCCAATGGCTCTACGGGCTGCAGCCGATAAAACCAACCAGGCAGGTCGACAGACGAGTTCGAATAGCTGGACGACTGTTAAGGGACGCAAGCCGCTGCAAAAACATTCCAGAAGTGATGCCATCCCGGTTTCAGGTGTAGGTGGTTGCAGCTATGCGGACATGCTTCGCGTAGTCAAGAGCGACCCAAATTTAAAGCATCTGAGCGGCGACGTCCAAGGTATTAGGAAGACAGCTAAGGGGGACCTTTTGTTGCAACTGAGTAGGAAGCCGGAGCATAGCGCTGAGGCTCTGCACGAAGCTGTAAACAAAGCCTTGGGTGACCGAGCGGTAGTTAAAACACTTACCGAATCGGCTCAAATTGAGATTCGCGACCTAGATGAGTTAGCGAGCAAAGAAGAGATCTTGGAGGCCATTAGGGTGGAGTTGAAGGATAGCTCACTCCCCATTGAGGTTATCAAATCGCCAGCTTTTGGTGGACAGCAAAGAGCTACGGTTGCTCTTCCAATTGGGAAAGCTAAAACTCTGCTCGAGCTGTCCAAAATTAGAATAGGATGGGTAGTATGCCGTATCAGAGCCGTGGAACAGCCTAAACGCTGTTTCAAGTGCCTCGATTACGGTCATATGGCAGCAAACTGTCGCAGCGACTGTGACCTAAAAGGCGCCTGTTTCAGGTGTGGAGAGATGGGTCACAGTGTAAAAGCATGCACCAAGCCACCAAAATGTAGCCTCTGCATCCGGAAAGGTGAAAAGCAGACGGACCATTCAGCAGGCAGCTTCAAGTGCCCATCCTACCGTGAAGCTGCTCGTAAAATGAAATGTTAAGGTTCTTGCAGCTTAACTTAAATCATTGTATTGCTGCCCAAGATCTTCTAGAGCAGACCATTAGGGAAAAATGTAAAGACGCAGCTTTTCTCAGTGAGCCCCACCTTTGTATAACCAGCTGCCCTAGGACATGGTCAACAGACGTTAATGGCAAAGCTGCGTTGTGGGTATGCGGTAACTCAACGAACGTACTTTCGAATGTTAAGTCATTCAATGGGTTCGTACGCGGCCGATATGGTAGCTTATGGCTTTACAGTTGCTATCTGGCCCCCAGCATGCAGCTCACTGAATTCACGACGGTGCTCGACGAGTTTGCCGAGGATGCTAGGGGTCGGAAGGCCATTATAGCTGGAGATTTTAACTCCTGGGCGCTAGAATGGGGTAGCCCCACAACAAATGCCATAGGTCGTATCCTACTGGAGATCTTCGCGACACTAGATGTTGCACTGCTCAACACTGGCCACAAGTACACCTTCAGTCGGGCGGGATACGGATCTGTTATCGACATTACTTTTGTCACTTCATCCCTCTTTCGGGGAACAACATGGAGCCATTGCGATAGCTATACGGGCAGCGATCATACGGCACTTCTATTCACAATAGGTGAGCCACCTGCCTGGGCGTCAACCTTGTGGAGGGAATCGTATCGGCTAGATACTTTTGATCCCGCGGTCTTTTCAGAAGCCATTCAGTCTCTGGGTACAATTGGTAATGCTGAGGCCAGAGCATGCCAAATGGTAGCCCAAATACAGAGTGCCTGCAAAAGCAGCATGTTACGCCGCAAGCAGTTTACGCGACAACATGAGCCTACGTATTGGTGGAATACGCAAATAGGTGACATTCGTCGCAAATGCATCCAGGCGAGAAGAAGCTACCAACGGGCTCGCGGTAGGTCAACGTTTTTTGAGAAACAGTTAGCTTACCAGGCAGCTAGAAGACAGCTGAAGAAGGCCATTCGGGCAAGCAAAAGAGAATGTTTTTTACAGTGGTGCGAATCAGCCGAATATGACCCTTGGGGCAGGGCATATAAGATAGTAGTTAAAAGACTATACGCAGGTAGACAGGTGCAGCCTACGGATCGTCTGGAGCTTAAATCGATTGTGGAAACGCTCTTTCCAGAAAGTTTAAGCTCCATTCACGCCCCTGGATCCGAGTCTGCTGATCAGGGCTCAACGAGCACTGAAATTGTTTTAGTTACAGACGAAGAAATATCAGTAGTTCTCCGAGGTCTTAGAACCAACACAGCTCCAGGGCCGGACGGGATCCCAAATCGTGCGCTAAAGCTAGCCCTCGCCTTGCACCCAAGTACGTTCGCCGAATTATTTACGAATGCCTGATCCAAGAGACGTTCCCGGCAAAATGGAAAGCCCAGAATCTGGTATTGCTACCCAAGGCTGGCAAACCACCAGATGAGCCATCTTCGTACAGACCGATCTGTCTCCTAGACCCCATGGGAAAGGTGTTTGAGAAACTGATCTGCTCTAGGCTGGAGACTGCGATTACTAGCGCCGGAGGCCTGTCATCAAATCAATTTGGATTCCGGAAGGCCCGGTCAACAACGGATGCGCTAAACAAAGTTGTTGGTCTGGCCACTTCCGCCATCCATGGCACAAGATGGAAGCATGGGACGAAGCAATACTGCATTATTGCGACCCTGGACGTAAAGAATGCCTTCAATACAGCTAGTTGGGATATGATACTGAATGCGCTGTCACAATATAATATCCCTAAATATCTTAAAGAAACAATAAAGAGTTACTTCAGGGGAAGAACGCTGGTATGCAATACGAGTGAGGGTCCCCAAACTCATACAGTGTCAGCTGGAGTACCCCAAGGCTCAGTGCTGGGGCCTCTCCTATGGAATATCATGTACGACGGCGTACTGCGCTTGGAACTACCAGCAGGTGCGCACACCATTGGCTTTGCTGATGATGTAGCTGTCGTAGC